TCTAGACGAGACTGGATGTCTCGCGTGCAATACTAAAATGAAAAGGCACGACATAGGCGAGAAATGTAATTTCACACCGTCACGATGGGTGAAATTTCATGGGAAATTGTTTCATTTTAAAACATCATTGTTACTCTGTGACATACATTTCACTTGGACTGCATTTATGTTGTGTATCACTATTGTACTAGGATTGTTATCTGCGATGTTACCAAGAGATATCTGGAGGATTAATATGAGCTCTTGTGTGTTGTGCTTTTGTTTTGTATTAGAAAATGAAATGATCTCTTTGATCTATGTCGCGTTGTGTGGCTTGTTTTAGGAACTGTCCTTTGAGTATCGTTTCAGGTAAATGTACTCATTTACATTCTCATTCACTCATTCTCTTCTACCACTCTAGAAGACAATCTACGTATGATTCTGACCTTTTAGTTTTAAGAATAGTAGGTAGTAGTTGACTACCAGAATGGTGTATTCCATCAACGATGATGACGAAATGATAAAAGGAATAAATGCAACTCAACACCATGTTTATAGGGAAGCATACAGTTTAATTTTGAATACCCCGATTCTTTATTTTATTACAATGGAAAAGAAACGAATAACTTGTTTTAAAAGAATGTGAAACAGTTGTGTGTTCAGCAAATAATATATAGCACTCCATTTTCTTAGTTTAAAAGAAAATAAAAATCCCGTAAGGTGACGATAAAATCTAAAGCCGTGAAGTTGAATGAGCGGTTTCTATAACCGTAAACTTGAACAACAATGTTAAAGTTAAGTAAGTGTTAGGTAAGATAGGTATTAACATAAAGACGAATGTACAGCAGTTCAATGTCAGTCTGGACCACGTGCATACACTTTCAAAGTAGCGTTACTTGTTCGCATGTCCATTCAATGACCAAGTAACGTCCAATTGAATAAACATTTTGACTTCGTTTTACGTGTTTGTAGAAAAATGGGTGGAAATGTGAAATAAAGTGATTTAATATCGAACAAGACAACGAAATCTTATTATTTATTTAATAATTCATGTACACACAATCAGCACAGAGGACACAGATATGATATAAAATTCGAGTACATAGTTAATATCTTTTATCTTGCTAATTCATTCAGATCAGATCACGTACAATTGCAATTAGTCTGTTAGAGACATTTTCGTAAATAAATAAAAGGATCAGTACCTACCAAATACACTGCATGCATCAAGAATCGCTCCCGAGTTATTCCCTCAAGGTCTCCCATTTACGACCAATCTACTATTAATGCAACCATACTCCATCATCATCATTGAAACAAAGAATTTCCTTTTCTTGTATAGAAGCACTATTTTTATGGATTGTCAGTATGCATATGTAAGCACCATGCTAGACTATAAGATTTTTTATTTTTTTATTTTAGTAACGTTTGTAATTAGTACCTGTAATGCGTCAAGCGTGTCTTTGCATTGTACTCACATATACATACAGTATGGGAATATGTATCAGAGACATTGTAGAACATACTTTTTTAAAAAGAGTAACGAATGGAGTTTATTGCTCGTTCTTATCCATTTGAATCTACATTTTGGAATGAGCCCCTAGCTTCACCTATTTTCACTGACAGACTGACTGACAGACTATTATTTATTTTGTATTTGTTGACGTTTCAAAAGTACCAAATTATGGTGTTATTGAAATAAATGCTTTGACTTTGACTTTGACATCATCAGACCACCACAGTTGGGGCCCAATAGGGCTGACTCCGGTATGGAGCTGCGGAGGACTTAACAGGTTGCCGGGGCTGTGGCTCGAAGGGCAGGTGTAGGAACGGGGTGGTGTTTAGTCAGTAAGAGTCTGACACTTCCTCCCGACCCACCCAGGCGGAAGAAGGCATTCGATGATTTTCCCCACATAAAAAAAATAACCATCATCGGTATCATTACAATGTAATACCACTTACCTATTTCTAGGTAAAATACCTGTAAAGTAAGCGAAAACATTTTTATCCAACGTTGACACATATTGCAACAATTGCTATGTACATAATTACCTTTAATAAAGGTAGAAGATAAGTTTATTACGTACCGAGGTTATCAAATAACTTATCAGACGTGACCTCTTTACTTTTATTTTTATATTGCTGTTTCATTGTAATTTACATTGCATAAACACACATCTCGAGACAGAACAAATACGCACTCAAGGTCTTGATGAAAGCCATTTAAAATTAATCGATTATGATGAGTAATCGAGTAAGCGCCATGAGTTGCATTTGGCAAGTAAAATTGATGATCGATTATCACACATTGTTTTGTTCTTTTGTGTACATTTCATGATACTATTCACGTGTCGGATGTAAATTGATGATTTCGTAATTAGCTTGTTTTGTTTTTGTGAGAAAATATAAATTAGACGTGACTTTCGTTTTTCTCTCGTCAGAAGAAGTGTTTCATTAAAATAGACCATCCAAAAATACCTACCTACAATAATTAGTAAAATATATTAATATTGTGAAAACTCTAATGATTCATTCATTCTCTTATCAAAAACATCGTTTAGTTGATAGACTTATTGTCACTGATAACGAAGTTGGAGATTTTGCGCCGTAATCAGAAAATCATTAAAATAATGTTAATACTACAAAAAAACCTATTTTACGAAAGTAGTGCAAGAGGAAAATATTTATTTTATATAAAGTATTAGATTTTCGAAAATCTGAAATCAGATGACAGTAACATATACGTTCCAGATTAAAATAAATGTAAATTGGATGGGATAACCTTTTCGTACAGATTTTTAAAGCAATAATACTGAAAACAGATTCAGATAAAAATTGGAATATTGTAAGTAAAAACCTTATAAATAACACTTTTGTTAATCAACTAACATAAACACGACCAACAAGACAGTTTACTTACAGTCACAGTATAAAATACAAAATGTGTCTACACTCTACAATCCGCAATAAATCTTGCTGGCACATTATTTTTTGTAGAAAAATAAAACGGTCTTACAGAATATAGTTCTGCATGTGCATTATATCAACTGTCGTCGTAACAAGCTGTTGCGACGATTGCAAGAACGTGACCTCCATTCGAGGACTCCTTTACTTATAAACACAGCCAATTATATCTATGTATTTATATTTCTTAATGCTTTGGAATCTCTGTTTCTTCTATGTTTCAATAATGTGTAGTTCAACCAAGATAATTGTTAGGAAATGCTTCTGTTTGTCTAGTTTTTTGGTGGATTGCCCAATTTTTCGGTGGTTGTTCTAGTATTTTTAGTTTATCTTCACCTCTTTGATTCTTTCCTGTTTTAGTTTTGGACTAATGTTTTCATTATCAGATTTATCGAAACCATTAAAATCGTCTATAGCAACAATTTTAAGTGATGTGTGTGCTGTGATTGCAGGATAGTATTATCCACAATTCATCCGTAATAAGAACTCCATGTTTTCAATTACTTGAAAAAAGGATTTTAGAAATACTTGACGCTTGAAAGCATAGGTCATTAACTTGCTTTTTCTCTGTATCTGCCTTCTTTTTCTGAATCACAAGTTTTCGCAACACGAATTACATTTTTTCCATAACATTTCGACGTAAACAGACATGATGTCAAAACTGCCAACGAAATAGTTCTGAGAGACGTTGGGCTATTGTGTTGTGACAATGTTCACTTTCATTCAACCCATATGTGTCATTGTAGTGAAAGTGAGGAATATTGAGATATGAAAGTATTATCCAGCCATGGTTTTATTATTATACTGTACCGTTTCTGTTCCGTGGTGTTATTCTTTAAAAGGTCTTGTAATAAGATTTTTTAAAGTGATGTAGTATTTTAGGCAATGATTAATTTTTCATGGTATATGATCTGAATTATCAGTTGAGTAAAACTAATGTGTCTTGATAATTAATAAAAATATAAGAAATACAACCTAATGAACAACATTCTCCTACTGAAAAAAATAAAATGAGTAAAATTTACTGGGTCAAATATCAACCCGTAAAAATTCATAGAAATGTATGTCATAAAAATATCGTACACCAAACTTTAATAAGCACTCAAAATAATTGCACAACACCGAAATAAACGTCAATCTCTTTGGTAGATCATAAAGATGAACCGTAAAGTAATCCCCCTTCCGGATTGGCAACACTGGCCCTGACAGAGTACCATCAGTCCGCGTATTTTAAATTAAAAAAAATCAAAAACAAGACATAAAAGTGAATAAATACTCGTGTACAGAGTGCAATAGTTATAATAAACAAGTGACAATGTTCGTGACAATTTACCATCAGTGCAAAAGTATATCTAGAAGTATACGAAAGTGAACTATTGAATGTGCAGTGCTAACACTTAAAACGATTATTGGGCAATTATTCTGTGTCCTAATATCTAATACAACCGCGTCTTCAATAAACATTGACTAATAGTGCCGTTTGCTGGACGTATAGTAAAAAATAAAATCGCTAAAAACAGTTACGGAAAAAATTTTGAATAATGGACTTTGGACTGTAGTGTTATCATACAACTAGCGCTGGTAATTCCTCAAGTGGGTAATTGAAGAACTAACTGATTGAACAACTACTGCCATTGTTTCCTTAAGTGGCGGTTGGTGGTACTAAAGTGACAATATTGACAAGTCAAAACTAGCATACTACTAGCGCCACTAATCTACAGTGGCGTTTGATGGTACTAAAGTGACAACATAAAAGAAAAAAAATACATAAATTATCTATGGTCAAAATTTTGTCTACAACTGGCGCCATTATTCTGCAAGTATATGGAGGTAGTGTTAGAGTGACATTGTGGATCAGTAAAATTGTACTACTACCGCCATTATCAAGTGTCCGGTAAAAGTGATATAAATGATACCATATTAAAAAAATACCCTAAAATTTGGTAATAATAATTGATTCTGTCGTATTAATATTGAATCATAACAGGGTGATACTGACGTCAATTCTAACATCATTGTAGTGACGATTTATTAGTGATCTAGCGACATCTTTTACAATGAACAAGTCGGAAATTGACAACATTACTGTTCGTAAAACCGCAAGGTCGAATTCAATGGACAGTTTACTCAATGCAAAGTTTAACTCAGATTCAACCGTATTAGACACTACAATGATGGGTTTGCCGGATAATTCACTGAATGACACTGACACTATCTATAAATATAGGGATACAATAAAAAGATTAACCTCAGAATTAGAAAGCGCTCATCTAGAAATCGAGAACTTAAATAGTGAAAACTTTCGCTTGAAAATGGATATAGGCCAATACCAGAAGGTCATAGATACATACAAAAAGCTGGAAACAAGGTCCTTTACACCTAGGTCTACACGCAAAAGTAGGATAAGAATGGACTGTTTTTCAACCCCGACAAAGTTGTGTATCTCTCCTATGGCAGCGATTCAGCATGACACCGCCGTGGCCAATGGGTCTGATGTTTCGTTTGGTACCGCTGGCTCGAACTGCAGTGTGGGTCAGATACAACACATTGACACGCCGTTGCAAGCGGGACACTGTAATTCTGGTGAGTGTAACATAAATCCAAGTACACACGACGCGCCGAGTAAGACCGAGTCCGCTTCTGTAGTGGAGACGGAGGGACATCTGGCTGAGACGACTGGCGTACAACTTACGGTTACAAAACCAACCACATATGCTGACAACCCAAGAAACCAATCGCAGTCAATCAGTGGAACTGGCAATACACAGAGGGTTATGATTTTCGGTGATCAAGCCGGTTATGGTATTAGAAATATTATTCAAGACTATCTAGGGAAACAGTTTACGGTGACGTCATTTATAAAACCCTATGCAACAACTAAAGAAGTTCTAAAACCAAGTGAAAGTTTATGCAAAGACTTTGGCAAATCTGACTTTGTTATCATTCTAGCGGGTGCTAATGACAGAAACCCTATGGATATTCAAACGTATTTACATTACACACTTCGTCAGTTACAATTTACCAATGTGTTAGTGGTGCCACTTCGTAAACAATTTTATTTAAACGAAAATAATGTAAACAATTTGTTGAAATTAGTATGCCACAATTGTAAAACTTCGTGCTTCGTGCCATTTCAAAATGATTCTATAGTATCTAAAAAATCTGTAAGCAAACTGCATATATGTAGATTGATTCATAGGCAAATCTTGCATTTAAACTACAAAGTGAAATATCAAAATTATGTGGAAAAATTACATACTACGAAACGGCAAGTAAGCACAAAGGACGCGGGTATACAGACTTGTGACTTAAATGATGTGAGTGTACAGAATGTGAGGGACGATAAAATATTACAAAATAATTTCGATTTTTTTCGGAAGTAATAAAACCTCTTATCTTACAATTATTCACCAGAATATAGCGGGAGCTCTGAGCAAGCGAGATGCGCTTTCATTTGCAATACTAGAATTACGCAATAACAAAATTAACGCGGACATATTATGTTTGACTGAAACATTCATGCTTAAAGGAACGGAAAAAAATCTGCGCCTTAAGGGTTTTACTACAGCATCATTCTATTCGAGAAAGACATCCAAACGAGGGGGAGTTGCAATACTAATTAAAAACGATATTGAATTTAAAGTTATTAAGGAAACACAAAGTATTAGTGAAACATGCGTATTTGAATGCTGTGGTCTAGAACTAATTAAGTATGGAATTATAATAATCTGTATTTATAGGACACCTTCATCGAATGTCATGATTTTTTTAGATAAACTAAATAGTCTATTAAGTACGCTATGTAGTAATGCGAAAAAAAAATTTATTGTGTGTGGCGATATAAATATAGATATTCTAAAGCAATCTAAGGATAGTAGGGATTATAACCATTTACTAATCAATTACAACTTAAAACAAATGATTTCAACGCCCACTCGTGTAACGGAGACAACTAAGACTTGTATTGACCACATTTCAACCACCATCGAAAACGGCTTTGCAAGTGTCCTTGAGCTTGGTTTATCAGATCACACGGCCCAATCTTATTCTGGAGAATTAACGAACGAAAAAAACCAGTGTTGAAATGGTGGTATGAACTCAAACGAGATTACTGTACTGAAAATAAGTTAAAGTTTTTAAAAGCAATCTCTAGCTTATCATTTCATGACGTATTTGAAGCAAAATCCACAAACGAATCATTTTACAAATTTTATGACACCTATTTATTATTTTATAAATTATGTTTTCCTATAATCCGCGTAAAAAAGATTAACAAAACACTAAACAAATCAAATTGGCTTACAAAAGGTATAAAAATAAGTTGTAGACGTAAAAGTAGATTACATTATAAATTAAAACACAACAGTACTGAAACACACAAAAATAGTTATAAAAAATATTGTAACGTATTGAAAAATTGCATTTTGACGTCACGCAAGAGTAACAACACAAACTATATAAATAGAGCTCCAAATAAGTGTAAAGCGGCCTGGAATATTATAAAAAAACACACTGACGCAGATTTAAAGAATACGTGTATTTCGAAAATTACAATTGACAGTACAGATTATGTGAGTCCTGCATCTATTGCAAATCATTTTAATCACTTTTTTATCGACGTAATTACGAAAATTAGATCAGGTGGAGAACAATCTACAACTTCCAATATTAATAATATAGAATCAATTGATAATTCACTTTTTTTGTATCCTATTGACGAAACCGATTTAAAAAGCATAATAAGGACTCTTAACGATTCAAAAGCTACGGGCTATGATGATATTCGTACTGATATTGTAAAATTATCTGCTAACGTGATCTCGAAACCGCTCTCATACGTTATTAATCTCTCATTGGGGGAGGGGAGTTTCCCGATGTACTGAAAAGGTCAATAGTCAAGCCATTGTATAAAAAGGGGGAAAAAACTAAAATGGATAATTACAGACCCGTCACACTGATACCTATATTCGCAAAGGTTTTTGAAAAGGTTTTCCTGAAAAAACTAATTAACTTTATAGATAATCATAAAATTGTAAGGGATGAACAAAATGGTTTTCGTCGAAACAGAAGCACATCTTTGGCAGCATTTCGGTTAGTGAGATCAATAATGGACTCAGTGGACAACAAAATACCGGTTTCAGTGCTTTTTATGGATATGAGCAAGGCATTTGATCATGTAAGTCATGAACTCTTACTAGCTAAGGTTGATAGATACGGTATTAGAGGGAAAGCGTACGACTGGCTAAAATCATACTTATCTGATCGGACACAGGCGGTGGAGATCTCAAGTTATAATGAGATATCCAAAACACGTGAACTATATCGTTCTTCCTTTTTGACAAATGAATACGGTGTGCCTCAAGGTAGCATTTTGGGCCCTACATTGTTTTTGCTATACATTAACGACTTTCCAAATGTCATAAACCACGAATGTGTATTATTTGCGGATGATACTACTATTGTCGTAAAATGTAAGAATAAAAGTACTTATGAGAGAGAAATAAACACCGTGCTCCAGACAACTATACAGTGGCTAGAAGGGAACAACCTAAAAGTTAATATAGATAAAACTAAATTCATTCAGTTTCATACCTACAGGAATAAACCCGCCGAATTAAATGTGATGTATAAAGGGATAGCTCTGTCAGAAGTTGAGTCAGTGAAATTTCTTGGGATTACACTGGACAAGTTCTGCTCTTGGATGAATCAAGTGCAAGATGTTTGTGGTAAAATTAATAGTTTTGTTTATCCCTTGAGACGTATCAGCCGTGAAATATCGAGAGAGGCTGCAATGACTGCGTATCACGGATACATATCCTCCATATTGCGATATGGGGTTATTCTTTGGGGTCGATGTGTTGAGATAGAACAAGCATTTATAATGCAAAAAAAGTGTATTAGAGCGATATTCGGGTTGAAGCAAATAGATTCCTGTCGCCCGTTCTTTAGAAAATACAAAATTTTAACCTTGCCTTGCCTCTACATATTAGAGTCATGTATATTTGTTTTTAAGCATAAGCGACTATTTGAGAATCCGGCAAGTTATTACGCTCCACGGTCTCACAATGCCAACAAATTATATCGACCTAAAACAAATCTCACACTCACATCAAATAACAGTTACATTATGTGCATTAAATTATATAACAAAGTTCCAAATTCCATTAAGGCACTACCTTTTCATAAATTTAAACGAGGTTTAATAAACCTGCTAATTGACAAATGTTTTTACAGTGTGCTTGAGTATTTAGATTATAAATTGTAATATGTATTTAATGGTTTGTGAATTGTAATGTAATCTATTTATAATATGTGTGACATTCCTATAAAATTGACATTTATAGAATATTGTGTGTGACATTTATGACATTTTGTATTAATTTTGTGACATCTTCTATTTTATAAAATTCACTTCTAATCGTAATTTTCTTTGAGATAGCAGTATAATAAAATTTTGACAAGTCTGTAAAGTACCTACATTATTTTTGCACGCCGATGTTGAAGGCAAAATAAGAGGACGTACCTATGTTATTAGAAAATGACAACTATCTGTACCTTATTTACGCAAATAAATAATTTTTGATTTGATTTGATTTGATTTGAGATTAAAAATCAGACAGTATTTATGGGCTCAGAGCAATTTTAAATCTCCTTATCTCCACCGGCCAGGTGTAAAACCCGAACTGTTAGCTTTTGCTATAGGCGATGTTGCAACACAATCACGATCGACCTTGTCTCTACATTTATTGCCGTCCTTTTCTTACAAAACAGTTGTTTACCTGGAAACTTGAACTACACCTCCACTATTATGACTTGAATTGTTATTGTTTAGTGGAATATAAGTAGTAAATACAGTGAGGATTTTTAAAAGGGTATGTATGCAGGAATTATGAAGGGATGTAGATCCGGACATGCGTACTGGAGTGGGACGGCGACAGCCGGGCATCGGCAGTCTACGTTAGTTGTTGGCCGGTCGCCGCACCGTGCGTTGTGTTGCTCGCGTCCATCCAACCGTTTCGATACAGTACACATATCAAATTTCACGCGAAAATTTGATATCGTCGTCGTTTTGTGAAGTGTTTTGAAAAAGTTTGCGAGTTTACCGGTAAATGTTTAAAGTTAATCCAACTTTAGAAGTTTATTAGAGTTTGTGCTTGGAATTATATTTTTTGCGCCCCTGTGTTTTGTTGCTCAGTGATATGTTTGCAACTGTTTTGTTTTTGTAGTACGTATCTTTTATTTTTATTAATTATAGTTAAATAGATGTTAACATTTTTCCTTTTATTCTTTAATTTCTTTCCTATATTGTTTCTAAATGATATCACCGACAGAGTTGCTTTATCGCTACTGATAAGTCTTATCTACAACTAAGTACGTTGTTCTATGCATTAACAAGAATTGCACATTTAGGACACACCAGTTATCCACTTATAGCCGTTACCTATAATAATTTACATTAACATTTCCATTCGTGTTTAATTAAATATTTTATTGTGGAAATTAGAAAGTGGAAACCTTTCAATGAAAAGTTCATCGAACCGATATTTAATGTTGTAAACTGATCCATTACGACAATGCAATCAAGCGGTATTATTATATTGTTTGTCTACGCATCATTTCATTCACATTATAAGGCAATCAGAGTGATATATTTCTCTTTCCAGTAGCATTTCAAATGGTTTGTTTTGTTTTGAATGTTAATAAATTGAATGTTATCGACCGTTGGAACAAGTAGACACGCGTTGAGATGACTGTCTTTATTGTGAATCACCGACTGTATGAAATGCGAAAGACAAAGAAGGGATTTGAATATAAGGCGAGGGGGCCCTTGAAATTGATCGTCTGGTACACCCCAGCCTCTGGTTAACCGAACCCTTGGATGTAGCGTAGGCACACTTAATGCGGTACAAATTTGATTTTATACCTCGGTTTCTGTAACGGCTAGAACAGAATCGGCGAACTTGTTGAATTAAATTTCAAATGTGAGTAACTTGATATAAGACCTACGTTTGTAACATGTAATATTCTTAGGTAACTAGTGAATGATAAATTAAGAAATTATTAACACAAATTTTTAAACAGCCTCGTCAGACGCTAGACTAAACGATTGAACATGGGTATTAATTAAAATTGAGAAGCGTGTCCTCTCAGTTCTCTTGTTTATTAAGCTACTTAGTATGGAAAAAATGTTTTGTTCAAGGATTAACTATTGAATTCTCACCTAATACACTTTTAAACGAGTTTGGCAGGATTGTGAGTCGGTAGGCGCGTGCCATATTATTATTCCCGTATCAGCAGCATTCGGTTGCCCATTGAAGCGGTAATTGCGCCCCGTAATGGTACAAGACCCTTTTTCTGATCTGTCTCATTGTTGTCCATAGGG